CTGCTGAATAGCATTAACACTTCGCAAACATTTTCAATGTCAATGGAGATGTCTCCAGCCTTCCCAGGGAGCTGCACGCATTCCTCAGTCTTGTAGCTTTGGTTTGGCCACGACCTTGGTATCTTTGCCAAGATCAGGGGTTCTGAGGCACCAACAGCCTGTTCACAGCACTTGCAAATATCTTAGTGAGCTGTCCTAGAGCTGAAGGAGACTTCAAATGCATCTGAGCTACAGAGAGGAATGAAAGAGACCAAAGAAAATTTACTAGAACGTAATTCATGTTCCTAACACTAAATATATGCTACCTCCCCAGATATTTAATACTTACCACTCTGAACTGTAATTAAAGCTACGCAGAGTTGCCTCTCATTCTTTTTATCTGTTTTTCAAATCTCTCCTCCTCCCAAAGGGAGAATGGAAACCCTCCTTCGGCCACCTGTGAAGCGCTTTAGTCAGGACTTACCATTCAAACCAGTAACACAGGATATGTCGGAGCTGCTAACCAAAGTTACGGATGAGGCGGAAGTCGCAGCTAATTTGCATCGCCTGCCTACACGGAGATTCCTAGGAGGCAATTGCGCACAGGGAAGCCAGTGGCGAAGTGTGCTTGTGCTCCGAGGACTTCAGAGAGATGGCTCCCCTACACCCACAGAAAATTTTCTATTTTCTTACAGGCACCAAGAAACACCGCCAGGACTTCTAAGCGTAGTCACTTGTTATACGGAGAGCCTAACGTTTCCTCCTTCTTGCTCAACTGAACTAATCCCAGGGGACCTCAGCCTATGCCAACAGCGTCAACCTGAGCATGTGCTTTGGTTATGTATCATCCCCACGTCCTAATAGGATTTAGATTTCTTTGAAACAGAGAAGTTAATTTAAACATGCTGTATCCCACATAGCAATAAACCACAGCAGACTTAGAGCAGCGTACAGCCCAGGGAGCAAATCACCCGCGTTCCGCATTTGGCAAGGATTTCTTCTGTCAAATCCACATTTGGTGCCACCCGCGTGTTTTGGTGACCTCCTAAACAGACACGGCCGCCACGCATCTGCATTTGGCTCTCTCTTCTAGTCATCGCATTCAGAAGACAACCCTGACAACAGTATTGTCGAACAGGTTCTAGAAGCTTCACAGCAACAGTTTCCCGCTGATGGTGTCGTGCAGGCTCAGCTTCACCCGAGGGACCTCACCGCTCCGTCTAACCCACGGGGGCCGCCCACAACGCCCGGAGCCACAGTTCTGGTGTGGATGCCCCGGTCTCCTGCTTAACCACAGGCGAAGAAGCAGCTTCTTCCATGCCGTGCTCACAAGCTGACTCTCAAGTCTTACTGTTGGTGGCTTGGTGCGATTCAGGAAGTTTCCAAACCTGTCCTCGTCCTTCCTTGTCCACTCCATCAACTGCACCGATTGGAAGCCCATCTTTGGTTCCTGGAAAGCATCCTGACAATTCCTACGGTTTGAGGACACTGAGGACGTCTGCTGAACAAGATTTTCACCCCCAGACAGCAGTAAGAAATCTGTTTTACATAACTAGCTTTGCTTTCATTTATATGCCCTGGAAAGGCAGCTTTTTTTTTTTTAATTAAAAAACTAGTTTCAGACTATAGGCAATTTTAAGTGGGAGGTACTACCACTGTAGTTTCAAGATGATGTATTCTACAGACATTAAACGAAAAATTCCAACTTTATTACGTCCTTCTCACTTTCAGTCACATTAAGATGAAGCAGCCCCACAACTCAGAGTTTCAGAACAGCTGCGGTGAAGCAAATACCTCACTGGGGACAAGGGGGCAAAAAAGCAACTGGTCACATCGGCCGTTTCACTGAGTGGTAACGCTTTCCTCGGTCCCTGCACCAAACCAACCCTTCCGACAAACAAAAAACCTCAGAAAAGTGGCACCACGTTCAGTCATTTAAGCCAAACACGTGGAAATCCAGACTGCCAGCAGATAACGCTGCAATCGGCTTCAGGGGCAGCGCACCTCTTCCTTAACAGCCAGATTTCACTCTTAAAAGCATCACACTGCATACGCTGCAAAGCTCGGCTCCTCTCCCGTTTGCATTGCTAGAGAGCGTTCACGTCAACCAGAGCTCCGTTACGAATAGCGTATGCCGGTTTTGGGTCACTGAAGCAGCCTCAATAGAATTACAATGACACCGGCTAATTAGGACTCCCCAGCACGGCACGAGCACTCCCCGTAGCGTC